TCAGAATTTACACCTCGTAAATTCATTTTATAGTCTTTATTCTGTATACAGTCTACAATTGTCTCATTTATTTTAGATGAATCATCTGAGACATAGTTCATGCTGAGAAGTCTTCAAACTATAACCTTTGAATAATACAGATTTCCTCTGGACTGTAATGAGAGCAAATAAAACTCTTCTTTGGTATTTATGTTAACTTCCTTTCCTTCCATATCTCAAAATAATTGTGTGCTCTGTACATCTCTCATCTTACAAAATGATATCAGACACAAACAGAAGAACACTGAGCATGATTTCATCATCATGCACAAATGTGTCTGTGTCATTGTCATTTGTGTTGCTCTGTGTGTGTAGTTTATGTTGTTTCCATGGAGCGAGACCATCTGGTTAAATGGTGAAACACTAGTCAGCAGAAAGTGATCCAACACTTGGATTCATTTGAGCATCGACACCACAGTGCATGTTGCAAGACCCACGGTCATGTTGAGGATGACTGGGAACTACAACAGTCCTACATGACTGACAAATGAAGGAGGGTGTCCGAACTGGGAGGTCAGCCTCACTCTTCTATAAACACAGAGAGAGTTCAATGTGTCCTGACACAGCATTATGGAAAACCTCATTTTAAAAGCCAGTGTTTGCCCAGACTAAATCCACATACATTCACAAGCACGTTCAAATACACCATCTTTAATGTTTGACTTGTTTGACCCAAATCTCACTATTTTTTGCCATTTCATTGGTGTCACAGAGCTTAAACTTTAGTCAGCAGATACACAATCATGTAAGTCACCAGGCCTATCATGAAATCAGCACACTTTACTCACAATTTCTGTGCTAATTGTGGTATGAGATATTGTTGGGATGGATTTTAATGTGGTAAAATGTGTTAAAATATATCTGGACGTCACAGCTGGTTATCATCAACATAATCAAACTAGGAAAACAGATTGGTGAGGGGCATATTTAGAGTTTTATGAATGGAAAGCTACAGAGCTTTTTGTGGAATGCTGTGGGCACAGATTCCGTACAGGCCTAGTCATGAGTTTCATAACAGTGAGTCCAACTGCTTCCAGAAAGCTGGACAGTAAGTGTCTATATCCGTCAATGACTAAACAGCCAGTGTTTTGTGTTTAACGATGATCTTCTATGGAAACTCGTATCAGACAAGCTTTCAATGCGCCATAACGTTGTCTGATGATCTAACAGAAACTCAAGAGAGCTTTTGAGATAAAAACATGAATATTTAGTGACTACAATAATCATTTATACTGAATGGAAGCCTGCTTCTGTCTCAGAGTGAAAATACTTGAAAGATCATTTTGAAATAAAGTCACATAGTCGGCACCATTAGCTTCGTTGAGCAGTGTGCTGCCATATAGTGCTGTTGTGCTTCGGCCTCGAGTTCGAGACCCAGCTTGTCAAACTTTCCTGATCCTGTCCCCCTCTCTCTTTCTCTACTATGCTATCATAAAGGCAGAAACTCCAAAAATAAATCTTACTTTTTTTTTTTAATAAAGTCACATTGTGAGATATAAAGTCACAATTGTAGGAAGCAGCAAATTCTGACACACTAAGATATAATCATAATTTTGATATAAAGTTGTAGTTTCTGAGATATAAAGTAACAATTTTGAGATATAAATGAGCAATTGTGAGAAATTAAGTCACAATTTTGAGAAATAACATACATTTTGAAATATAAAGACACATTGTGATGTGTAAGATCCTTTTTAAAATAGTCACATGGGGAGATATAAAGTCACAGTCATCAGAAATAAAAGGCAAAATTAAAGGAAGTAGCAAATTTTGACAAAGTCACAATTTTGAGATATAAAGTTACAATTTTGACAGTTGCAATTGCGACATATAAAGACACATTGTGAGAAATAAAGTCTCAATTAAGAGAAAAGGTCATACATTTTGAGATATAATGACACATTTTGAAATGTAAGATAATTGTGAGATAATTTTTTAAATATAGTAACATTGTGAGATATGAATATGGGAAGTACAGTAGCTAACTGAGATATAGACACATTGTGAGACAGTCACAATTTTGAGATATAAAGTTACAATTTTGACACGTGAAGTCGCAATTGTGAGATATGAAGTCATAATGCTGTTATCTGAAGATGCAGTCATAAGATACAGTCGCAATTGTGAGAACAAAGCCACTATCGGAAATACAGTTATTTTTTATTTGTTTTAATACATTTTTAAATATAAGGACACTGTGATGTGTAAGGTAACTGTAAGATCATTTTTAAAATAGTCATACTGTGAGATATAAAGACACAAATATGGGAAATAAATTAGCAAATTGAGATATAAGGTCATGTTGTGAGATATAAAGTATCAAATTTGAGATATAAAGTCGCAGTTGTGCACTCTGTGAGAAATAAAGGCACAACTATGAGAAATAAAAGCACACATTTTGAGATTGAGACATAATGAGACCTTAGATGAGAATAATTCACTGTTTTTCCTGTCCTACACCATCTCTAGAACATCCACACCCAGTGGCGTAACTTTGCTTTGAAAAGTGGTGGGGACACCGTGCAACTGGTTTTGCTAGGTTTTTATTTAATAAACTAATTTACTTGGGGACTGAGTTTAGAGTTGAACAAACTTAATTTTTGCTTTTCAAAAATACATCGATGTACCAGGTGCGGTGCCAGAGAATTTAGAACGCAGGTAGATCACTGACAGGGGGAGCTGGACAATTCAGGGCTCCAGACTCATTCTTCCCACTGCTCGCTCTTTTGCGATTAACTTTCTCAGTTGGCTGCATGAGCACGTTTTATTTTTTATTTTTTTGGCTACAACATGCTGTTAATCAATGCATGCTGATTAACTTTTATGGTAGTTTATAGTTATATGGAAACGAAAGTAGTTAACATTCAACCCGTTCTTTTTCATTAGTAGTATTATTTGTGATTTGAATTTTGTAAACGGGAGTTCCTCTTTTGCTATGTTATAAGCCGGGCTTCGATGCTTTCACTTTCTATTTCACAATCTTGTCAGGTTTTACAATAAAATATAATTGTCTGTTTTGCTTACATCTATACACCTTTCACGTTTTAAGACAAAAAAAAAAGATGGATTCATTATTTTTAATTAAAATGCACAACAATAAAACAGTATTCAATGACAAACTAGCTTACAAAACGTTATTAACAAAAACGAATAAGATGAGGCATGGCCTACACGCTGTATTAGGCTATATAATGACTAATAAATTACTGAACATTTAGCAAACATTGAGGATTCAAAAAAAAAAAAAAAAGAGAGAGCCTCCATAGCATAAGGTATGGAAGCCCGTTTATGCCACTAAATAAATTTTAAAAAAGGTAATTGCGACTTTTTATCTCCCAATTCTGACTTTTGTTCCACAGAATTGTGAGATATAAACTCTCAATTCTGACTTTTTTTCTCGCAATTCTGACTTTATATCTCGCAATTGAGAGTTTATAAGTCCAATTTTGAGGGGGGGGGGACTGATAAGTTCTCAGAATTGCGAGTTTATATCTCACAATTCTCTGTATGTGCTCTCTTTATGTGTGTGTGTGTGTGTGTGTGTGTGTGTGTGTGTTTATACACACAGGGTGGTACAGGGCATTGCCTGTGGCCAAGTCAAAATAAAAGCTGGTAGCGAGGGCTCTGCCCTTTGAGCACGGCTGGTGTGTGAGCACGCAGAGACGTGACTGAACACATTCACAAGTTTCCTTTAGTTTTCTTACACAAACGTGCACACACCCCTCATTAACAGAGAAAAACTTTCAATATAGATGCACGATATCACTGCTTTCTGGCACCATGCAGGCACGTAGACTGCTCTAGGTTTTTATGTATTTTTCAGGACACTTTAAAGAATACAATTTAGAGGCAATCTACAGACAATTATATATTTTGGAACTACTTAAATGTACTGTATATAAAATTAATTTTCCATGCCTTTTTAAGACTTTACCTGGCCTAGAAATCACATTTTTGGTTTTCAATGCTTCTGTTTGTTAGCGTCCATTTTTTTAAGGTCTGAAAGATTGTGATAAAGAGATTTGCCCTAAAGACCAGAGAGGACTGAACAGAGATGAAAAACATAATGTGTCCATCACTTTAGCTGCTGTTCTGATTCATGTGAAACATTCTGAAGCACGGAACAGTTGTGGGCTTTTGCAGAAATTAAATGTGTATGTGTGAGTTATGTGTGCTACAGTATGTGTCAGATAGTCACTTCCCACACTCTGATAAAACTCACACTCTGATCATTCTTGGAACCAGCACATTAATCCATGCACCCAGCTGTGGGAAGCTAACACACAAGAGTCTGCCAACCTAACAGCAATATTTGCACACATATGTTGTTCTGATAAGATATAAATCCCAAATAAGATCTCTTTAATGTCTCAAGACAGCAAAATTAGATTTAATGTAGAGCAAATTAAGTTTTTAAAGTTTCACAGACGGCGTTCATCCCTTTTCCACTAGGAGTGCCATTTAAAAATGAAAAAATTAATTACCTATTTATTCATTAAAAAAAGAAGTAAAAAATACATTAATGGAACATAATCTTTACTTAATATCCTAATAATTTTTGACAAAAAAAATCTATAATTTTAACCCATACAATGTATCGTTGGCTATTGCTACAAATATTTCCGTGCGACTTATGACTAGTTTTGTAGTCTAGGATCACATATACATTTTAATAGTTTTAAATTGCATTTAAAAAAAAGCATTGGCCAATTGTTTCTCTTAATCCTTTTGCCAAATAGCATTTCTAGGAATCAACAAATGTATTTGTAGAAATTGTAATTTAAATGGTTAATTTAAAATAATTTTTAAACTTTTACATTTCTTGGAAATGCATTTTAAATATGAATTAACTTTAGTTTTAAATGCCTATTTATGTCTATTCATTGTCATTTTGAAAGTGATCAATCATTTATCCTTTCATCTTTGAATTAATATATTATTTTTTACAGAATTTTTTACTATCACTCCAAGATATCAAAATCTGCAATTAAAGAACAAAGAATCTTTTTCTTCTTTCTTTTCGAATTATCTAAGCTAAGATCTGCCCCTTCATTTAACAGCTATATATTTTTTATATTAAAAATTAACTCATTTGCATCGGTCTTTAGGAATTTTAGGAAAAACATAAAAAAAAGATAAAGCAGATTATTAAACTTCATTCTGTTCCTAAGCTATGAAACAGCAATAAAATTGAAGACTGGTTTGTCTTAAAATGAAATATACTAGTTTAAGATCACGAGATGATTCACCCACATACAATCACCAAAAACAGTATGAAGCACTTAGATTTTCTCTCGGACTTTATTCCAAATCATATCTAGTCTGATTGCTTCCTCTATATAATTTGTATAGAGATTTTAAATGACACATGAAGCACACAGTGACTCATATACTGCTTCATTGTGTGTCAGTGTTTGATGGTGATGGACTTAACCTCAGTGAAGAAGTGGTACGAGTCTTTTCCCCCCTCTCGACCAATGCCCCCTCACCAGCTTCCTCCAATAGCTGACACATCATCCAGGCAGTGACGGAGGTCATTTCACTGGGTTTCGCCACCACAGTATTGCCAGCAGCAACAGCCGGGGCAATCTTCCAGGTCAGGAGGTACAACGGCAGGTTCCATGGGCTTATGAGACCAGCTATAGACAGAGAAATTTAACAGATAGACCATATGAAAGCGAGTGATGTATACTAATGAAAAAAATAGTATAGTAAGTATAGACTGACACATACCCACTCCTACAGGACAGCGTACTGTGTAGTTGAGACAGCCCATGTGATCCATCTGACTGCAGTCATTAGTGTGATGCAGGACAGATGAAGCAAAAAAACGGAAGTTGTACGCTGATCGTGGAATGTCCACATTTCGGGCAAAAGTTATAGTTTTCCCTAGAAAAAAATATTTAATGCTTTAAGAGACCTCCAAAACAAAATGAATCAAAGCGAATGAAAATGTTCAGTGACAGAAAGTACAAAGTAATACTGACATATCTATCTAGTTGTTAATTAAAAAATAGCAAAAAAATTGTAAGCTAAAGCCAGATAGACAAGAGCTAGATGACAAAATAAAAAAAATTTAATCTATTTCAAAATATTAATAGACACTATAGTAGTATATAAATTCTATTAAATAACACTCATATCTATGACTATTCAGGTCTCTGGAAGTTATATAAGCCACTGAAAAACACCATATCTGCTGACCACAAGAAAAGTACATTGCTGACTCACTTAAATTCTGTCTACCTTTGGTCTATTGTGCACTAGTAAGTCCTTTGAACTTATTTAGTGTAAGCCATTTAGTGTGTCCTGTATTATGGTACTGTATTACAGTGCAGTTTCTAGTGTTTTACCCTGGTCTTTAGACTCAGCCTGGACAAACTCCTCCAGTCGAGCCTCTATCAGGTCTGCTAGTTTATTCAGTACTTTGGATCTCTCTGCTGGACTCTTTGCTGACCAATCAGGAAAGGCCTCTTTGGCTGCCCTCACTGCAGCATCCACCTATAAGCAGTGGGAAAAGGGTCAACTCTCATGAATTGGGTATATCTTCCTTTGTACAGGCATTGGCCCATTTTAGGATATGATAGTGTTATGTAATGCCATCATTTCAGTATTAAAACTCTTAATTAAGTGCATAAAAATGGACTGTACTGACTATAAAATATATTTAAAAAATTAAGTGAATGTATAATATAATATAGCACAAAACAGTAATGGACTGTACATCCTACATCTAAACTCTTTTCTGTTCCACTGACCCAGACAAGTTCTTCTGGTGTGAGCTATAATAGTTACTAATTAAACACTGGACCTTGAGCGTCGCCCACCTGATTATGACCAGTGTTTACTGTGAGAAGTATATGAGACCAAAGGTACGTCACCCTGACTCAGTATCATTACTCTTGCTTTTCTTGGAATTTGTGTCTTTAGCCAAATAATCTTGTGAGTAGCTACATATTATTACAGGTAAAACTACAATGATTTTTTTTTACACTAGAAACAAATGAAAATGTTAAACTAGCGAAATACACAGACAAATGGACAAGACAGTATATCTACAGCGACACAGAACATAATTGATCATGCACAACTGACATCTTCAAATATTAGAAAGAAATTGAGAATAATAAGAAAGAGATTAAAAAAAAAAAAAAAATCTTACTTCCTCAGGTCCACTGTCTGGAACTTTGCAATAAACCTCTCCAGTCGATGGGTTGAAAGAGTCCATTAGTTTGGAACATGGTACAAACTTCCCACCAATATAGTTTTCCAGCACTAGGTATTTGTCTTTTGACATTGTAGGAAAAAATTGATTAAAAATCAGTTTTGCAGACAAAAGAAAAACCAGAAATGTTTGCGCACCAGTCAGCACACTGTTACATATGAGCTTTCACCGGACTCTTTTGCAATCGGTTTACTCAAGTAAAAGAGAGGTTTTATAGTAAACTAAATGGCTCCTCCAGCAGATATGACACTCATTAATTAGAGCATGAGTTGGACATTAATAGACTTTAACTTGCTGGAGGTTTTGAGATATTATTCACATTTCTTTGAAAAGGGAATTGTTGTCTTGAGTTGGATATTAAACACCGCTATTGATGACTGACCAATACATTTACAATAAATTTTACTAGGCTAAATAAATCAATACAAAAGTAAATAAACTATATAAGACTAATCCTCAACACATTTAAAAGGATAATTTAGACAAACGTGTTTATAATATACTGAAATGCTCATTTGGGCAACTGGAGTGGGTGCTTTTATACAGAAATAGCACCCAATGCTGATAAGGTATTTGAGGAACACGTTTTGAGGAAGCTCGTTCTGAAAAGAAATGAAAAGCAAAATATGTACAGGTGTGGAGGCGGCTGATAGATGTGTCACAGTATTAAGAGGTTACATTGGGACTGTTTGTGTTGCTGTTTCTGATTGCAGTTCTTCAGGCCTGAAATAACCCGGGATGCGGAGGATGAGGCAGCAACGTTACCTACTTTGCCTGGTGAAATACACATTAACACAAATTATCATAATACCACCCACAAGTCCACAAATGTTGAGAAATGTCACTAGTAAGGCATGTGATGGTTTATATTTACACAGGCAAACAATGTTTCACCGTTGGTTCCTTAAAATAACTATATATTAAAATATCTCAAACTGAACTCTTTTGAGGATGTGTGTAACACCGGTAACGTTACTGTATTGTGACTAGCAAACGTATCAACAAGAAATTACCTTTGTCAGTAGCTTAGCTCTACAAAATACTGTAGCTTTTCCAGTAACAAGCTACTTTTTCCATAAAGATGAGTAAATAGTTTTAATTAAGTGACTTATTTTAGGCTAATAGCAACCAGGTCTCCAACAGAAACTGCGGACATGTGATAAACGTTTTAAGAGATCTTAAAACACATCCAAGAAAGACAGGTCATACTTAAACCAAGAAGGCTGGTGGATGTCTGCCATCTTCTTACTTTGCAGAAGATGGTACTGCTGGAGGAAATCCAATCACACTTAATTTCACACTCACTTTAACTGACGCAGGTTCTCAATGCAACACTAGGCCTCAATTTCAATTTCATGAGATAATTCCTCTTCACTGAGAGACCAATGAAAGTGTCTCTTGAGGCATATTTGTCAATTTGAAGTTTAGAGTGAGATATTACACCAATTCAAAACAGGGAACTTAGAAAAAGCTTGCAGAATATTGACAACAGGAGAGTGAAAGCAAATAATGAAAGTGTGAGAATCAGAATATGGAAAGACAATAAAACCCTGTTATATATATACACATCACTGCTTTATACATGTCACTGAGAAGCTTAATTAGAAAGATTTTATAATTTTATATCACTTTAATGTTTCATGAAGCAGCATTAGAACAAAACAAGAAAGTTTTATGGAGAAGAGCAGAGAGTGAGAGACTTTGCTCATTCCAAATCAAAAGACCAGCCCCAGAGAAAAAGAAATAAACCACCATGCCGAGAAAAATAACATCTATAAGGAGAATTAACAAGCACAAAAAAGACAACTCCTACTGTCAAAATGCCATTGTATGCAGTGACGCAGAAAATTAAAAGGAAACGATCATTAGACAATTATTTTGGATGATTTAAAAAGAGTATCAAAGAGAACAATGAGCTGAAATTAGAGAAAGACAGCATTAAAAAGTTGCTATTGTCAAAAATATTCTTTGTGGGTAATTCAGAAAACTCTTTGATGCTTTTAAAGCAGAGCTAATGTCAGAATCTCTTGAGACTGTGATTACTGCACTTGTAATTGGCCTAACTCTGCAGCACAGAGCACACACACAACCCAATGCTCAGTCGAGAAGTCATTTGTTACGCTTACTGAACCACTTCAGCAACCCCAGTGCTATAAAACTAAAAGGTCAAATTCCCCATTTTTCACTTTTGATGGTAATTATTCTTATTAATTACTATCTTGTGTGGTGGATAAGGTCTAAGCAGCATATTTATCTTCAATTTCAGTATATTTTCTTTATGCCTACCAGTGGAAACATACTATTAATTTTTCAGCGTATTTCTCTACAACCAAGAGGCAGAGACGAATTGATTAAACCAAGCTTCACTGAATCAATGTGTCATCATCTTTGAGTCTTTATCTATTCTGAACAAGCTCCATTCGTGAAATCTTTTGATTACCAGGCCGTGAAGTGGAAAATTACAGCAGCACATTCTCACACAAGAAAACAACTTATTAGCTACATCTGTTAGTATTTGAGCACATATAATGAGCATCTGTTGGAGTGAGCACTTTCTGGAATAAGTGGAAAATTACATGATTCGTATAACTCACATTATACTGCAATAATAAAGTGTTCACAAAACATCAATGCACTGGGATTCATGTCATTCAGCATCAGGCCAAAAGGTGGTAAAAGCCAAATCAAGAATTCATGAAAATTGTAAGGATGAAAACAAACAGCTTGCATGCAGGAAAAACATACATTCCTGTCCAGAGAATAATTGACGCTTTTGTAAATGTTGAGCAGGGTCATAAAGTATAAAGCTCATTTTAACAGAATAAAAGATGAAAAATGATAATTCCAACTTTCTATCTCTGAGTTTATCTCTCACAGTTTGGACTTTGTTTCTCATAATTCTAAGAAAAAAATCTGAATTGTGAGATATATGCTCAAAATTGTGAAATATAAACTGCTCTTTTTTTCCAATTCACTCACAATTCAGACTTTTTCTCTGAATTCTGAGTTTACATCTTGCAATTCTGTTTTGTTTGTTTGTTTGTTTCCACCATGAAATAAAAAAAAATAAAAGTTAACTGCAAATTTGTAACTCCCTTTTGTTTTTAAATTATGTGGTGGAAACAGGCTTCCACGATAACACCAACAAACACTTTCCAAAACGCCAAAATAAATGTAAGACTGAATAAGTATTATGTATATATTTACTGGCCCAACAATACACACACTCATGTTTTCCACAGTGATCAATATTTTTTATTTTTCTGATGAAGAAGCTTTTCCCCAATTGAACAACTTCAGCTTCGATACACCCAAACAAAATGTTCTTTAAATTAAAACCCCTTAATAATCAAGTCAAAAACAGATGAGTAAAAGTCATGTCCGTTAGGTCCTTAAAGTGATTACTGTTAGATTATAGACATGCGGATGAGTTTCTCCACAGAATATCTATTTGCCCACTGGTTCTCGATCCTTCTGTTTTCTCATTAATGATCAGGAAAAGACTGAGTAGCAGCAATGGAAGGGCAGGTTTCATTCACACTGTCCCGCTCACATGAGAAACTGATGGAGGAGATGAGAACAGCCAGCTTTGTTGCTTAATCTATTTTCCCTTTTACAAATGTACACATACTTAACTAATTTGATTAATTAACCTTAAAAACCTTCCATTTGAACCAAAACTAAATGTCCATTCTGTGCTGCCATCTTGTAGTCAAAAATGATGCACTTTACAATAATCTAAATAAAATATCAAATAATAAAACAATGAGTTCAGTTTATGATGCAGTCAACGAATGGAAGCAAACCAACTTAAATTACAGGTAAATGTTCTCTGTGTGTTCCCGTGTGTTTTAGGAGGGTTTAAGTTGAAATTTTGGATGAATTATTACACAGATCAATTGTATACTGCAAGTTGAGGGGCAGGACAAAATGCAGTCGCTCTCTAACACACACATACACACACACACACACACACACACACACACACACACACACAAACATTCACACTCATTCTAGGGCCTTTAACAAGGTGAAATGTGAACTGTGGCTAGATGTTGCCTTGCGGGCATCTGTGTGTATTCACTTTATGTTTGTGTTACTGTAGCTCTGAGGGGGAATTGCACTTCTGTCCAGAGGTTTCGCCCAGTTTGTTTTTTCTGGAGGATCCTGTTCCAACTGGTTCTTACTCTTTGATCTAGAACAGTATAAACATTAGCGGTATTAACAAGCAACACATAAAATATATTAAAAAATGCTGATTAAAACAAAACGTGAATGTGTTTCGTGAGAAAAGGTGGATATGTACTGCCTTTTACCTCAGTGACAACTCCAGCAGCAATGGTCGAGCCCACATATCTCAGCATGAACCGCCCCAGTTCTTTATAGTCCTTATAGAGCTCCAGAGCCACAGGCCTCTGTGTTTGAATCTCCACCACAGCATTTTGTCCTTTACTCAAACACCTGCACAACATTCATACACCATCAACAACAAGCTGACAATGATTCTTCAGCAAAAACACATTATCATTAAAAAAACAATTCACCCAAAGATGATATCAGAAAGTGTCAATAGTAATCACAAACTTGGAATATGGGAAAGAGTTTTATCTTGTTGTTTTTTTATTCATACTAAAATTTTTATAAGTAATATTTTCAGGGGTTAAAGCAAAAAAAAATCCTGGGCCTCAACTTTTTTCCGGGGGTTGCGAGGGTGGACACATACACAGAGTTATTTGGCAAAAAAAAGAAAGAAAAAAAAGAACATTATTTGAAAATGATTTTCCTTGAAGCTAACTAGTAATATATCTGCCCTTGCCATTAGCCCTTGACAGGCTCAGACTACAAGTACAAGACTCAGGATACAAGATGACCTACAATTTAAAACATGAAATTTCTGAAATTGTTTTGTTCAAAAGAAATAATAGTAAATTAAATACTAGGAAATGAATATAAAATAGGAAATATACAAAGACAGTTTACTACAGAAAACTACAGTTCAGTTCAATTAACAACAAAATAAAATGCTCCAAGAACTGGTAACTTAAACAGGGTTCGTACAGATACTGCAAAATGAAATTCCAGGACTTTCAAGGACTTTTCAAGCACTACTCATTTGGTTTTCAAGGACTAAAATCAGATCTCACTTATCAAAAAATATTGTTATTGTCTTTCAAATTCTAATATATAAACTAATAAAACAAATGGTACAAATAAAGTGCAGCACATGCAATGCAATGACTGTGGCAACTTTAACATTTGAAAGGATACTATGGCAAAGTTATCGCTTTCCTTATTCAAACTGATTTTTTTTTCACGAGTATATGATTGACCTGAAGAATGAAAGCTAGGCTATATAATACACTTGGAAAAGTATGAGCTATATCACCGCTTATCGACACTAGGGGTGTGACAATAAACTTAGCTCACGAGATGAGACAAAATGCATATACTTTGTTCAATAGAACGAGACAATGTTTTAATACTATTATACTAAGAAATATTTGAATGACAAAATATTTATCTTTTATTTACAAAAAGTAGAACAATGCAATTATATTTTGAAACGTTTTAACAAATCTAGGGCTTAACTAACAATTATTTTGCTAATCAAGTAATCTGATTATTTTGACAAGTATGTTTTAGTAATACAAATAGAAGTGAAAAACAGGCTTTAATATGACTACATTTATATATAAACTAACGATGAGGCAATAATAATTGACTCAAATAAAGTATCAAAACCAAGTACATGGATCTACAATAAATCGCATATTTAGAAATATGTTGATGTATTCTGTGTTGGCATAGGTTTATAAATTACTTAAGTTACAAATTACATGAGATAACGCACAGTTTTCCCAGATGAACGCTAAGCAACCCAAACTCACCGCATATGCAGAGGAAGAGTTTAGCTCCTTTCACACAGTCTTTACTGGTAAATTGCCGTTAAGAGATCATGTGTGAAAAGGACCTTTTCAAAACTACAGATAAATTTGTTCTGCCAATCATATCGTTCTTATGGAGATGATGTGATTACTCTGAGCTGTTTACAAAGCTCCGTTAATTATATAGAAAATAGCTTTTCTATACAAATATGGCTCTAGATGGAAATCTTTGACCATTGCACCTCGCAGCTTTTTCAGAAAGTGTAGAAACAGAACAAAATCAGCTGCGATTCTGCAGTTGGATACAATTATGCGCATCTCATGTTTATAGGACCAAAAATGTCTGATTGGCTAGTAATGCTAGTTTGGTTGAGAGTGAAAGCTGTATTCCTCTCATACATTGGTAGGCGAACTCATTAACTCGAACGTGATATCAACAAGTTTTAGTTTTTTTTAAATGTAGGAGGACTATCTTATTTTCCCGCAGCTAAACGCCACACGCCGGAGATCTGGCACGGTGCCAGAGAACTTTAAGCCCTGTATTTTAGTGTCTATTAACTATGATTTAGCTTTTTTCATATATTTTTTATTTTAGTTTAAGTGATAGTAATTTTATGTGCTTTTGACATTTTTATAGGATTTTTAAAAAACATTTCTATTTAGCTTCAATTAATATTTATTTCTGCTTTAGTTAATTAATTTAGTTATTTAATTTAGCTATTTAATTTATTAATAATAATAGTTCTTCAACAAACTTTTTAGTTAGTTTCCAAGGAAAGTTTTTTAATTCAATTGTTTTCATCTAATATTTACATTTTATTTTACCTCAGCTTTATTTATATTACCAACATTCATTTTTAATAGTTTTGTTTTTCATTAACAATAACAACACTGCAGTAGCTCTCAAATCTCGTTTGAGCTTACACATCAAAGGAGAACAGACTCCGCAAATAATCTCTTAAATTTATGTTCATCATACAACAATACTTAATGTTCATCATCGTCATATAGGGTTGTTTAGAGAACATGACTTTTATTTTATTTTTTTTAAATACGACAGACACTGTTCTGGCTTACCAAAGAAAGAAAGTCATCCACGGAAGTTTGGAACAACATGAGGTTGAATAAAATTATAATAAGTGATCATGTGCACAAATATGACACCATATCATTCAACCACTTACTTTGGTTTCTTCTTGAGAACTTCTCCACTACTCTTGTGTAATACACTGACTAACTTCCTAATAGTGGCCGGTTCACTTACGGTCTGATAATGTAACAGTACCTGACAATCAAACACAAAAAACAAGTAAATGTTAACAAATGCACTTGCACATCCCTCATATATTAAATAAATAATAAATACAGTAGAAGTCTAAACAGAGAGAAGGCATTTTCTTACGGGGAAGCCTTGCGTGACGGGAACTTCTATATTAAAGAGGAGAATTCTTGCTCGGAATCTTGTACAGGCTCTGATGGGCTCTTTGGGATCACAGAATATACATCCAACACTAGCAAGAGAAGAGAGAGTGACGACGAGAAAACATCATACATGATTACAGAATCAATCAACAGTGTCCAGAGTTTTTCACACTAGTGTTTCTTTGCACACTCACTTTATTTTGATGATGTCCATGCCAGTTACAGTTAGACTGACATGATCACCAGCAGCTGCCCAGTCTAAAGCTTCATCATGGAGAGTGATCCCTAGAGAGAGACAGATGCATCAATTTAGAAAAATTAATTAAATAAATAAAAATAATTAGGGCTAGGAAATACACTACCATTCAAAGTTTGAGGCTGGTAAAATCTTTGAAAGAAGTCTTTTATACTCACCTAGGCTTCATTTATTTTATAAAAAAACACAGCAGAGGATTCTACTCTTACACACACATCTCTGTACATGAACACTGAAGCTCTCATTCAAACATTTAAATGTGCCACATCAGATTTTTGAGCCAGGTGGATTTTTTTAATGCAACTTGAATATTTAGTTTTTTTTTTAAATTGGATAATTATTTTGCACAAGTATTGTAGGGGAAAAACACTAAGGCACAAATAACCCTTTCACATGTCTAAATTTGGTCAATTTAGTCACAGTCGCGCACCTTCTGCAGACTATTTGATCATTATCTACTCACCCTCATTTTGCACAAAAGAAAAGATTTTCCCACCCAAACAGAAAAATAATTCTCAAAATGTCAAAGCTCTTCTTTTTCATTTTGCATTTTTTAAAAATAATAAAATAACATTATATTGTATTTTTTGCTATATTCTATTTATGTGCATATATTACATGTAACATGTCACAAGAACACCTTAAAATAAAGTGTTACCATATTTTATAACATTATAAATGTGTTCACTGTCACTTTTGATTAATTTAGTGCATAAAAAGTATTAATTTCTTTCAAACCAAAAAATAAATCTTACTAACCCCATACTTTCTGAATGTTAATGTACTGAAGTTTGTGTACTGAACAATCTACATTTCAACTTTTTAAACTCAAAATGCCTGAACATGACAGACGCACTTGGATGCATCACAGACTGGTCTTATTTTATCTCTTTCACAAACAGGGAAGGGCAAAGGTTGACAAACGCCTAAAAGTCTGCATGAATGGGACATTCTTTAACACATCCATCTTTAAAACTAGATTGTGAGAAACCTTTTGCAACAATGTAGGAACACTTTTGTAACCAACTTAGAACAACTGCATAGGAACCAATAAGATTCAGAACACCCTTAGCAGCAACCTAGTCGTGTCCTTTTTTACTGTCCTAAGAAAATGTGGCAATTGCCTCGTGAAAAAATTTACTACCATGATGCTAGGGTAAAGCATTTGAATGAATGGAGTGAAAGGCATTGTGAGTGAATTTTAGCACATTGCTACGTGCATAGTAAAAAAAACTGGCAGCTGTGGTTGCCAGAATTTTACCGTAAAAAATATGGTAGCAACATTTTAGATTTTACAGATTTAACTTAAATTTACATTTAAATATCGTAATTTCATTAACTGATCAAATATTAATATACCAACCTATGGAAGTACTGAAATCTGTTTTGTAACTTTGTGATACACTGATAACCACTCCCATGGTGGATGGTCTACCACAATGAAAGCAAAGCCTTTGTAAAAATCTCTTCCAATATGCTCTGGGCGTGTTAACACCTTTATGTGGCCACAAAGACTCTCTGTTTTATATGTTCATATGCGCACACACACGCAGTCAAGCAGACACATGTAAGTAATAAACACCACAAGTTAACACACCCTTTAAGGTGAGCAAAAACAAGCTCAGCCTCAACACACACATCAAGTTCCCCTCCACCCCCACATATACACACCTCAACATCAATCTCAGAAATGAAACTGGAAAATCTTTATTTCAGAATATATACAAAACGTCAGGCCCATGGCCACAACAGTCACTTATGTACATCAGTGCTTTAAAATAAATTAAAAAGGCAACAAATGATCAAAACTGAATTGAAAAAAATCTGAAAATGTGTATCGAACTTTTATAATAACTAAAATGCACTTTTACAGCGCTGCGTGTCAAACACGTAATAGAAAAAACTCCAGGTGTCCCCAAACCCAAATGTCTTCCCTCTTTCTGTGTTTGTGGTAAACCAGCACTGCACCTCATTTCAAAAGGCAGCAAAATCTGTTGTTTTTTCATTTATTTTTGCACTGTATCTGCTCCTGTACTTTCTTTTTTGCTTTGTAGAGCGACTCTAGAATTTCAGCATAATTTGTCAAAATGTCATAAAACTACATAACCAAGTACAAAAATACATATTTAGCTTAATGAACCATTAAAAAAATTCTGAAAATATGAAAATCCAAGTGAAAAATTCAAAATATTAAAGACTTTAAAAGTAATACTCAATTACTATCTGAGGTTGTGATGTTTCAGACACAAAAAAAGAGTCCTTTTTAACTTTCCAGTGTAATGGTTAGCTGTAAATAAATATACAACATTCGAATTTAAGTATTATTTGGGTAATGAAGTAAAATAGCAGCCTTAGTGCTTTAAATAATTTCAGGGCTCAAATGTACAAACCATCTGAGTGCTGACTTATGACTGACATCTTCATATTTTCCTAAATGTATAAATGCTAATCTATTCAGCTCATTCTATATACACTACTATTCACCATTCAGTCTGACAACTTCTCGATATAGCCTTGCTCCTTTAAATTATGGCCAAAAACGTGGCTGTGGCATGTAAAACATAAAATGATCCTGAGCTGCAAAATACCCAGAGATTTTTAAGAGAGATTTAAGTTTGGGAGATGTTAAAAATTTAGAGGAAAAAGGTGTTTCTCAAGTCAGTCTCGAGTAAAAGCTTTTCTCTGATTCGCTTTAACTATGTCATCCGGAGAGGGTGTGTCAAAAGAAAATGGGGTGATGTGATGGAGAGGTGGACACTGCACTCGTTTTTTCACTCTCTCCATCTGTCTGCTGTATAAGAAAGCATTATGAGTCGCGTTAATGCACTGGCACTTCTCGTTTCTCACACGCACACACATTGCTAATGCAAAAATAGATGGTTTAGCGCAAACACATTTTTTCTGACTCGCGGAGATGCGGGTAAAACTCAGTAGGGTTGGCGAACGACCATCGGGAGATGTTTGGGACATGAGTGCGCTAAGATCGACACTCTGATTTAAGCTAAGTGGTCGGGGCTTATGTACAGCCTCTGCAGATTTGTTCGATGCTTGATGCTTAGACCCATTTTCACTCTTAAGCGATGCAGTGCATGTTGGGAATTGCAGACCAAGTGACGCTTGGTGTTGGGACATGAGATTGGACAGGGATGGTGCCTCTGAAAAGCCAGGAGGAGCATTTGCAGCAGATGTTCGGATAGGCTTTTGATTGTTTTGAGGACAAGTTGTATGCGAATTATGTGTGTTTTGGAGTCCTGGCAAACTGTCATAGAGTTTGGGACTGTTGTCCTGATGCTCCTGGATCAGCTCAGCCAATGAAAGGATTCCAGAGCTCTTTGCTTGCCCAGGTACTCCCAACGGTCCACTGCTTTGCAGGACAGTGCTCAAACTTCCTAACGAGACAGGAAGAGGGGCGGATGGCTTGGAATCCTGTAGCGCTAGACTACTGAGAGAGCAGGTTAAAAGAGGTGAGGATGTCGCACCCAGACCAGCTGGGACAGGTGTGCCCAAAGAGAGACCAGAAGAGTGTGTCGCACTAGAACCAACAGACAAACCAGACATAGGTTGGACACTAGGACCCTGAGAGAGCACTGCAGAAAGTGGGGCAGCAGGACCAAGAAAAGAACCAAAAGGACTGGTAGTGAGAGGAAATGTGTTATCCAATGAGAGACCAGTGGAGTGAATTAGAGGAGGAACATTTGTACACTTCTGTTCATGCTCCGCTATTAGTTGCGCCAGTGAACTTTGCCCTAAAGTAGACCGTCCACCATCACTACATAAATTCTGAGACAAAACCGCTTTTAAATGGTCTTTTCCCAAACTTCCCAGGCCAGGGGGAGGATTTAGAGCAGCAGGTATGGACTTGTTTGGGACAGGCATGGCTAACAGATCACTGAGGTTGTAAGATTGTTCTCTGCCTTGTATGCATGAATGTGCACTTGATACAGTCTTAGTACTATTGTGTGAGGGAGGAAATAAGGATCCTTACCTTACGAGGGCCAATTGTAGTCAAAGAGTGCAACCGAGAGGATGAGGAAGGTGATCGAATTTCATTGGTTAGCCAAGACCACAGAGAAAGCAAGAAAAAGGCAATACGTTATACACTGTAAAATTAAGGACATCAGCGATTAAAAAATAAAAAAATTTATCAATTGAAGCATACAGAAAAATTTGTACCTTACATTTTTATAATTATAAGTTAAAGATGAAAGGTGTCCTTCTTTAACATTATAATTAATTTATACACATAATAATAAATATTTGTATTAGTAGTATTTTATAAAATTTATACTTTTAAAAATTATTTTAATGTATTATTATTATTTATTTATAGCCTCCAACACTGAAAAAAAATTAGGTTCTCCCCAGTTTTGGAAAAACCCTGGAATTTAGCGCAACTGACAGAAACTCACCAAATATATACTGTAAGTTAAATAACTATTTAATCTTTATTTCCACAACAAAAAAAATCCATAGTTCTCACAAAAAAGAAAGTAACTTCTCTGGGTGTGTGTCCATGGTGTGTGTTTGTGCGCGTTCACTTGGATGGGTTAAATGCAGAGCACAAATTGATAGAATGGGTTATTATACTTTGCTACAAGTCACGTCACTTTTCACTTCGAATTACATATACTAACAGGAACATTATACACAGCAGAAAATATGCATATAATTGTAATTTATATAAACTTAATTGTAGGACTGTGCGATATTGAAGAAAAATGCGATATACGATACCTTGTTTAAAAAATGCGATATTCGATACGATATTGCTTAAAGTGTGTAAAATCAATTTCAATTATATTTTAAAATATTTAAAAACGAAAATTATATAACCAATTTGTTTCACATTCTTTCTTGGAAAAGAAAGAATCACTGCAACTTCTGAAAGTGACCAGCAGTGTTACATAAAAAGTAATGTCACAAATCAGAAAATGTCATTTTAACATCAGTGTGAACATACAAAAAAAAAAAAGAATGACTCTAATTTTATATCATTATAACATATTTGCTTTCCACACACTTTAAGTACTTCTTCATATACCACAGCAAAAACTATAGTCTGAGAAAGTTCAAACATGATTAAA